AAGTTGTACAAATTTTTAAAATTTAAATTACATACATTAAAACAACCCCTACACTTTACTAGTACTACTAAGGGATATTTATTTTGGTATTTAAAAGTACTTTAATGACATATTAACTCTCCAGAAAATTTCTGGCTATTTTTTCCTATTAAGAAGAAAACTTTTTATTTAAGTCATAGCAAACTCGATGGCCACAGGGCAAATTGATTTTCTTGTTGCCTTTGTCAAAGATCATGTGGCTGTAAGTATGTGGGTTGATTTCTGAGTTCTCTATTGTGTTCCATTGGTCTGAATATCTATTTTCATGCCAGTACCATGCTGTTGGTTACTATAGCTTTGTAGTATAATTTGAAGTCTGGTAGTGTTATGCCTCTGGCTTATTTATTTATTTATTTATTTATTTGTTCAGGATTGTTTTGGCTATTCAGGGTGATTCCTCTTGTGTCAATGCAGTCAAGTGGGCTGTTGGCCTCCTGTGTGGTGGCCATGGCTGCTACTGTGGCAGTGAGCTGCAACTGTGACAGCAGTGGCTGTGGCAATGGCTGTGGTGGACCACCCATGTGGATGCAGTGTTTGCAGTTTGTCAGGTGGCTATTTGCTTATAGCTGCTCTTGGCTGCTCTTGTTTGTCTTTTAATTATGGGTGCACATTGTGCTATACACACGCATACATACATATATACATATACATATATGTATATCTAATATATATAAAAACATATTAGTGACTCTAGGAGAAATGCTTGACTGATCTTTTCTTCCTTTGTTTGAAGAAGTGATTAGAAAATGACCTGCTGGGGCCGGCCCGGTGGTGCACTGGAGAGTGTGCCGCTTTGGAGTGCGGCGGCGCTCCCGCTGAGGGTTCGGATCCCATGTGGAGACCGGTTCCCACTCACTGGCTGAGCGCGGTGCGGGCGCAACACTGAGGGTTGCGATCCCGTTGCCGGTCCCTGGTACGGGCGTGACACCGAGGGTTGCGATCCCGTTACCGGTCAGTAAAAAAAAAGACAAAAACGTAAAAAAAAAAAAAAAAAAAAAAAAAAGAAAATGACCTGCTGGCTGCTACAGTGGGATCACATTGGGAGGTGTTATCACCAAAGCAAATAACAGCCACTCTCCCTTAAAGCTATTAGAGAAATCTAAATATTTTATAATCTCAGTAAAACAATTTGATTTTGGATATAGTCATCAAGCAACTTTCTGAGATAATATCACTTAAATAAACATAACATGATTGGTTACATATTTATGTTTTTTACTTTTAATTCTTTTGTTTCTAGGCCACAGACAATTAAAAGACCTTTGGCTTCTGTAAACATAACATGATTGGTTACATATTTACGTTTTTTACTTTTAATTCTTTTGTTTCTAGGCCACAGACAATTAAAAGACCTTTGGCTTCTGGTCAAGGTGAGTTATTTATTTACATTGTTATATTATTTATCAGCCAGAGAACTTTGGTTAGAAGGAAATGGAATGCAAGGTAAATGGCAGGAGCAGTTGAGGTTATATAATTCAGAGTACTGTTTCCATAGAAATTATGCCTCACCTTGCAGAGTGATTGGGTTTAAACTATTTATACTTCAAAAATTTTTTTAAAAAGCAAAAAAATATTTATACTTCAGTAAGGAGTATCTTTATAATGAAGTTCGTGGTTTAGATTATTTTAGGATGAAGATATATATTTATTCTTTTATGCATTTTGGCAGACACACTAATGTGTATGTTCAGCTTTTCAATTTTTACTCATTTTCCAGATAAATGAATATCCAAAAAAATTCTCAAATTTTTTGCAAAACTTGAAATTTTTGAATATAGTAGGAGTCTGATTTAAAATTCACATGTCTTTGTATCTCATTAATGTTTTCCATTTTCCACTTACACTCGAGGTCTGGCCCAAATGCTGCCTTTTCCACAAAACTTTCCCCAATCCTCCTAACTGGGAGTAATCGCTCACTCCTCATGAAGTAATTTTATGCCATTGTTTGCTTCCCTTTTACAGCCTTTTTTACTGTGTGGCATTATTTTATTGTTATTTATATATCTATTGATCTATCCTAGTATTGTGGGCATATGGGCAGCATTTATCTGTTTCATCTCTTAATATAGAGCCTGACACATAATAGATGGAGTAGTTTGGTAGATAAATGATCAATGAAAATTTCTCTCCTCATTGGTCTTGTCTACTGTAGTGAAAATCACTATTTTACAAATATTTTTTCAAATGATTGTACATCATTTACTATGTGCTAGGTACTGTGTAGGTGCCAGAGACGGTGTAAAATTGAAACTCACAAACCCTGCCCAGTCCATAACAGGCAAAACGATTTGAATAAACAGACAGAATAAATCATTGCTGTATATGACTTTAGACTTTTTCCTTAGAAAATATATAACCGTTCTCTTTGACTGTGTGCTTAATGATAAAATCTTTGATGTGCTTTTAAATGTGTAAGGTTTTCATTTTTTAAATTTATTTGAAAAGATGCTGATCTTGCATAGTCAATAAATATAAATTTCCTCCTGGAAAGCGATGAGATTGCATCATTCCCTAAATGGGGGCAACTTGTCTTTCTTAGATTAGGAATGAAAGAACATCTTTAAATGAGGCTTTTGGGTTTGTACAGAGTCACATGTGATGACTCAGTGGCAGATATTGATTTAATATCAGATAAATGCAAATACATAGACAAGAAGTAATCTTCACTATGAACTCACATTATGAGTTGATAAACTAATTAACCATACTCACTTACCTTCAAGATAAATGGGAACAATTTAATGTTTATCATTAGGTAACTGGTTAAAGGACTTAACGGTATAGTCATTTAGTAGAATACAGCCATCATAAACATTGCTGTACATTTGCATTCATTTAAATCAAAAGTGATCAACAACATGTTGAGGAAAAGAAATAGGTATAAATGGTATAGTCACTTAGTAGAATACAGCCATCATAAACATTGCTGTAAATTTGCATTCATTTAAATCAAAAGTGATCAACAACATGTTGAGGAAAAGAAATAGGTATAAAAACAATATGTAAAATGTATTTTTATAAAAAGATAATTAATATAATTTGTAAACATCTGTACACAAAGAAAAAGGACATTTACCAAAATGTTCTTTGGGCAACAGCAGGTTATAGCTGGATAATTTCTTATTTTGTCTGTCTTCTTTTCTTAAAAAAAATATATTTGCAATGAGTATATATTACTTTGAAAATCAAACAATGATGGCATTAAAGAAAAGTGGGCAAAATGAAGACAATTTTTCAGTAGTAAATAAGCAGCTGCATACAAACTGCTGCATTATGTATAATTTGAATCTTACAAGTAGTCTTTTAAAACATTCTTGACTGAGTTTTGATCTTATAATGGCAGTCTGGAGGTTTCCAAGCAATAATACAAATCTTTAACAGAAACTGTATTATAGCTTTAGGATAAATAATTGTGGAAAAAGTCGCAGTCAGCCAAATAAACCTAAGTCCTTAAGATATTTAAGAGTACTCTTGGATGATGGGTAGAGTTTTCCTTCCTTCAGCCCATATTAATTCTTATGTGAGCTGAAACTACTCTTTATGCATGCTCCTGGAGATAATACCATTTAGTCAAATCAAGCATAAGTCATATCACCACTAGATTGAGTTGCAGCCACAAGTGTTTCATTTTCAGATTTTACTTGTGTGGATGAACTTATGGAACAAAACTAATCATTATTTAAAAGTCTTATTTTTATGAAAGTGTACCATTAGAAAAGGGCAGTTGGAAGAAGTTTATAATAAACATTCTGTTTTGTTTTTCAGGGAAAAGTAAAGGTAAGTATAACTTCTTTATCATATATTACATATATGAATGAATTTGCTTATACATTCAAATGTTTATTTTGATGAACTTTGTTTTTCTTCCTACCTCTGAGACTTAGAACTTAATTTTTATTTCTTTATTTAAAATTCTGGAGGTGAAAGCACAGATTAAGGGAAAATGACGGTTTTCTTCTGGGCTGAGGCATTAGAGACAGCCTGCCTCAGCCTCTGATAATTCAGTTGCACATTTTACCCACTGAATGTGGAAGCTGGGCATATCCCCCCTGCCTCTTCTCTCCTTTACTGGTTGAACTCTCGGATTTGCTGAAGGACCTGCCAGTCTGGAGGTTTCAGAGCAATAATACAAATACCTATATGCTGGGTCTCATATAGGAAGGTTCTGGGCATGACCAGAGTGTTGATTCCAGAGCTGACTTCCAAGACTTATGCTGACTCCAGGGTATAGGTATCATTACCAAATCTAAATTAATAGTAACGCTATAAATTTTAACATAAAGATTTACTTTGTCTTTTTGAGAATCATTTTGCTTTAAGTGTGAGATTGAAATGACATTTCTTATTCTTAAGACCAAGTGGCTAACAATATGAAAAGACTTCATCAGTGCTTAGCTTTAGTTCATCCAGGTGAAATTTCTAAAATGTGAAGTATTCTTTTTTTCTCTCTCAAAATCCTCTATCTTCTGAACATAATTTTATGAATTGCTTTTGCATAATCTAAATAATGGAATACCAAAGTCTGATAACGTTGCTGTTTTATTATTGTACTTTATATTACGGTAAACATAGCAGCTAAATAAAATGCTGAATCATAACTGTACTGTTTGGAAGAGAAATTGTTTAGCAGTAAGATTTCTTTTTCCCAAAGACGTCTCATATTTGTTACTCGTAGAAATGATCTTATAATTTTCACTTTTCAGTAACTTTACTCTACTTTGTTTCCAGGACCATGCTATTAGTTACTACCTCATACTGCTTCTCTGTTAACATTTGGATACTTATTACATATATATATACATAATATATAAATATTTTTTGTCTGACCCTTATCAGCATTAAGTATTATCATATTTTTATCTTTACTAATTTTATAAGTTAAAGTGGTATATCTTTTGTTTTAATTTGCATTCGTATCACTAATAAGACAACACTAATTATTATCACTAATAATAACACAGAATTTTTGTTATTACCTTTGGTATTTTTTCCTTTGGGAATTCTCTCTTCATGTTATTTGTCCTTTTTTTAATGGGCACTTTAGCATTTTTATTCAGTTTATTAGCTTTTTATATATTTAGGATATTATCCCTATATATTTGCAACATACATCTTACCCAGTTTGTTATTTGCATTTTGCTTTTTTTATGAAAATTTCTGACAAACAGATGTTTTACATTTTTATATAGTCCAATTTATTGCTTATTCCCTTGGACATTCCTTTCATTACTTTTAAGCTTGTTTGGTTCATTTTTAATATCACTACAAGCATCCATAGTTAAAAAAAACAACTATACAGAACAGTGTTTACCATCTCTGTAGCAAATGCATACATGAATCTTTACATAGTTAATGATTTCTTATGCTTTTTATGATATTTATATAACATTTCAAATAAATATTTTCATATGTTGTCATGTACTACATTTTTATCACTTTAATAGCTATATGTTATTCTACAGTGTTAACTAGTTATATGGTATTCTATCATGTTAACTTAAGCATTATTGTGCATTTTGATTATTTCAGGTTTTAAAAAGAATTATACATAACATAATCATCTTTCTTCAAATTTCTCATCCCACATCCCACATTTTGAGTCTTTTTTTTAGAGTATAAATCTAAAAACAGAATTACCAGGTCTAAGTATATTAACAGTGATTTTATTAGGTCATAGAGTATAAGTAATATTTAGTTTTTGTAGCATTTCCCAGAGTTACTCTTTTTTTTTTGTCTTTTTTCGTGTCTGGCAATGGATCGCAACCCTCAGTGTCGCGCCCGCACCGGACCGGGACTGGCAACGGGATGGCAACCCTCGGTGTTGCACCCGCACCTCGCTCAGCCAGTGAGCGGGAACCAGTCTGCCTGTGGGATACGAACCCTCGGCGGGAGCGCCACCGTGCTCCCAAGTGGTGCACTGTAGCAGTGCGCCACCGGGCCGGCCCATCCCAGAGTTACTCTTTTGAAATAGTGAATTGCGTGTAATACTATCAGCTATATACCTCCAATACTATTTTATAATTTTTGTTTATTTTTTTAATATAAAAAGCATATAATGACTCCTTTATTTTCATGAATTGTTATCAAGGTTAGGTATTTTCCCATTTTTTGATTGATTTATTATTTAAATTCTGTATTTTGATCTCATGTACAACACTTTTTCCAGAAAGTTATGAGACTGGGGCTGTCTAAGGCAATGCTAACACCTTTTAAAGACTGAGCAGCAGTCCCAGAGTTACTCTTTTGAAATAGTGAATTGCATGTAATACTATCAGCTATATACCTCCAATACTATTTTATAATTTTTGTTTATTTTTTTAATATAAAAAGCATATAATGACTCCTTTATTTTCATGAATTGTTATCAAGGTTAGGTATTTTCCCATTTTTTGATTGATTTATTATTTAAATTCTGTATTTTGATCTCATGTACAACACTTTTTCCAGAAAGTTATGAGACTGGGGCTGTCTAAGGCAATGCTAACACCTTTTAAAGACTGAGCAGCAGAGTGGTACTTAACTAAATCCATACCAAGAATTTCTCTTCTCATTTTTGGAGAAATTGCAAATGAGAATTGGACCTTTAGGTTAAAGAATCTTCTAATCACTGTTTGGTACAAATTTGGTATAATGCTTTAAAACCTTTGAAAAATGTATATTTTGCCATTTTTACAATCTTGTGACTTATTTTTCTTTTAATTTCAGAGAACACTTTTTACAGCTGGCTAGAAGGTAATTGGAAACTTTTAAACAAATTTAAATGAAATCTTTTTCTTATTTTTTAAAGAAACATAAAATTTTATATATACAAGACTCACATATGAAATTTTATTTCTAAATCACTGATTTTTTAGGCCTCTGTGTAGAAAAAAGAGCATTCTACAGACTTATATCTGGCCTACATGCAAGCATTAATGTGCATTTGAGTGCAAGATATCTTTTACAAGGTATGTGACATTCACTTTTATTCACTTTACCACACTTATTTTCAGGTATTATTAACATTTTCTTGTTATTTACCAGAATGGGAAAAGATTGACCTGACTGAATATTAGTCAGTAAAAATCCATTCTTAAATCACAGTAATCAGGAAAATGGGAATTGTAGGTACAATTTAATAGTTAAGCATATTCTTAGCTCTCTCACCTTCTTTTAAGAAGCTGCTTAAAATTGTAAACATCACTTTGGAAATATCCTTTGTTTTGTTGTGGGAATTAAAATAGCTCCTAACAGCACAGTTTGTTATCTGTTAGGTATTACTGTGTCAGAGCCTTTCTATTTGTGTGCCACTGTCAGGTTTACAGTTTTTATAGGTAGAAGTATTTCCTGCTGCTCTTTATGCTTTAAGGACAATGTTGAAAAATAAGACCATGGTTGGTTTTCATCAGTAACATACTTCTTCTGAGTTAAAGAATCTCGTACCTCTTAGAAACAAAATATAGTAACTTTGATTTTAAATAGCACTTCAAACTCATTAGTCATTTCAGAGTCATTATTTATTTATTTATTTATTATTTATTTACTTATTTTTGGGGTTCTTTTTTGGTTGGTTGGTTGGTTGTTTCTTGCTGGCTGGCTGATATGGGGATATGTACCCTTGACGTTGGTGTTACAGATAGTCATTTTTTAATTGTGTATTTTGATTTTGTGAATATGTTTCTATAAAGAAATTTGACTTTTATTAAAACCTGCTTTCTCAGTAAAACATTGAATTCATTTTACCTGTAAGGATGGATTCTAGAAGATAAAATATTAATATAAAACTATTAAAGGCTAAATTATGAAAGACAGTTTCCTTGGTTGTATTTGTCATATATTTTAAACTACAAAGTAAAATTAACTTCTGCGGGTATAAATAAACTAATATAATTAAAATGAAAATTCCTTGATTGAAAAATTCAGTTTTTGGTTTTTTTTGTTTGTTTGTTTTTGGTAGCCGGCTGGTATAGAAATTGAACCCTGGACCTTGGTGTTATCTGCACCCGGCTCTAACCAACTGAGCTAACCAGCCAGCCAAATTCTTTTTTTTTTTTTTTTAAACTTACTTTTCTTTGCTTATTGACTGTTTTTTGTTTGCTTGCTTGTTTGTTTTTTGGTGGCTGGCTGGTTCAGAGATTGAACCCTGGACCTTAGCGTTGTCAGCACCATGCTCTAACCAGCTGAGCTAACCTGCTAGCCCCAAAATTCAGTTCTTAATATTTAATTCTTCTTTCTTCTCAGACACCTGGTTGGAAAAGAAATGGGGACACAACATTACAGAATTTCAACAGCGGTTTGATGGAATTCTGACTGAAGGAGAAGGTCCAAGAAGGCTGAAGAACTTGTATTTTCTCTACTTAATAGAATTAAGGGCTTTATCTAAAGTGTTACCATTCTTTGAACGCCCAGATTTTCAACTTTTCACTGGAAATAAAATTCAGGATGCAGAAAACAAAATGTTACTTCTGGAAATACTTCATGAAATCAAGTAAATTATATATTACAATTTATACATTAATAGAAGAGTGACAATGGTATCCAAACTTAAATTCTTAAATATTCACTTAGAGAAAGGAAAACTATTTAAAAAGTAATTGAAAGATAATTTTGCTCATAGGTCTTAGAATTGTTTTGGTTTTGTTTTAACCTGGCTACTAAAAGCCAACCTTTAAGAGACATTCTTTTAGTACTTGATATTTGCATTTTTTTCTTAATTAGCTGAACAGATTTGGTTTGGGGCCAAACTTCTACTATATTATGCAATTAGCATTTTTGAGGATAACAATTTGTTTTGGGGCATCAGAGTGTTGGTTTTATTATGTTTTCTACTCTATTTTAATTATATTATTTATCCCTGACCAGTAAAATGTTATATTTGTAGGACTTTTAATATTTATAATGCATGAAAATGAATATTCTCTGTTTTAAAATACAGGTCATTTCCTTTACATTTTGATGAGAATTCATTTTTTGCTGGGGATAAAAAAGAAGCACACAAACTAAAGGTAATTATTTTATACTTAATTGTTAGATTCAAACTGATTAACTGTTATGCAGGTGTGAATATAAAACTGCATATTACTCATAGAAGTAGAATAATGATGGTTACCAGAGGCTGGGGGAGGGAAAAGGGAGAAGTTGATTGAAGGGTATGAAGTTTCAGTTAGACAGGAGGAATAAGCTTTAGTGATCTATTGCACAATAATAATGCATTGTACATTTCAGAACTGCTAACATAGTAGATTTTAAACATTTTCACCGCAAAAAATATAAGTATGTGAGGTGACAGATTTTTTAATTCGCCTTACTTAATTATTCCGTATAGTAAACATATATCAAAACATTACACTGTGCCCCATAAAATTGTCAATTAAAATTTGTTAAAAAACCCATGTATTTATACTTAACAGTAATTATAGGAAAAATCAGAGTCATAGTCTTTCTTTCCTCAAAAAATGAAATCCAAAGGCAAGTTCAACTTAAGATCTAGTTTGTATTATATTCAAAATAACAACTGATATCTGTGTATTACTTCACACTTTACAGATGGCTTTCACATTGATGCAATAAAGAGGTTATAAGTTAAAGGGAAGGGATCCAGAGCATGAGTGGCAATATTAGTCTATCTTTTGCCAAAGAAAATTCTAAAAATGGTATTGGTTAAATTAAAAGGTCTTCTTTAGGGGGAGAGGGCACAATGTCATGTTTTATCATTCATTTTATTTACTGGGAATTAAAGGCAGCTAGGAATGCTGACATGCAGTCACGGAGAGAACAGACCTGATACCATACAAAATGGGGTCTGGACATTGCCTTGCCTCTTAATAGGGGTTTGGCCTCAAGCAAGACCATCTGTGAGTGTGTATATGCCTCAAAATACTACAAATATAAACTATTACTAAGAGGATTTATTAAACCGTATGTTAGAGCATGATTTTTGCATTAATGAGAGAAACAGCTCCTACCCTCAAGGGATTTCCAGACTATTTGGGGAGTCAAGTAAAATTATATAAGTGTTACCAGTTACATAGCTATTGGTAAGTAAAGACAGGTGGCCCTCAGTACCACTGGGCTTGGTCTGATTTCATGAGAATATTTATAACAATCATCCTCTGTTTCTTATTCCTTGTTTCTTTCCATAGTGGAAGAACCTGATTTTATGCAGCTTGCAAACAAAATACTTTTTGCACTCAGTTTTTTTGCTGTTAGATAATAGTTATTCGTGACCTCCCATCTACCTCCTACTTAAAGCTTCCTTGCTACAAATACATACCTCAGTGCTTATATAATCTCCCAAACAGCTTCCAGGAACTTGGAAGTGAGGGGGAAGATGCTGCAATAAGACTTCTTTTTTTCTACTATTTTCAATATGTTCCTTATTTTTAGTTCACTTGCTGGTTTATTGGAGAGAGTTTTGGCATCAGCTCTTTTTAGATTGTACAGATTAGAAATATTTCTCACAATGTTTTAATTTGATAAAACTCTGAAACACTCAGCTTTGATGTCCTATGAAGTTTATGTAGAGAGTCCTTAACAGAGAATTTTTCTGAATCTTTTCTAGGAAAGGAGTAAAAAACAGGAAAACATGTTCATATCAGAGATTTCTTTTTTTAAAAAAAGTAGTTTCTGATAAACTTCATAGATTTGAACAGTCATTTTATAAGTTTATTTTAAAAAATCTCATCTTGTCTCCTTTATACTCTGTCAGTGTATGGTTAGAAATAGAGGACTTGGGGCCGGCCCGGTGGTGCACTGGAGAGTGTGCCGCTTGGGAGCGCGGTGGCGCTCCCGCCGAGGGTTTGGATCCCATGTGGAGACCGGTTCCTGCTCACTAGCTGAGCGCGGTGCGGGTGCAACACCGAGGGTTGCGATCCTGTTGCCGGTCCCCGGTACGGGTGCGACACCGAGGGTTGCGATCCTGTTACTGGTCAGTAAAAAAGACAAAAAGGAAAAAAAAAATAAGAAATAGAAAACTTGAATGAAAGATACTTATTTAGTATTCAATTCAAATGAGAATAGGATCTCATTTGAAGGCTTATAAAACATTTGAGAATTTGGGTGAGAACAGGTTAGTTGGTTTCACTGAATATAAATCACGGCATATAAGCACAGCATGTTTGATCATTCTACCAACTAACTGTAATTTAAAGTGATGACCTAAAACTGTACTTCCAAACAAGGGCAATTTGTAAGTAATTTAGGTTCTGGTTATTTTAAGGATCATAAATTTTTCTAATCTGAGATAATTGTGGCCTATACTCATGGACATGATTGTTACTTGTGGAAGTACAAGGATTCTCTCCTATTCTGATCTAGTAAATTTCTAGCTTCTTAATTTGGTTTTAGTATATTAAGTTCACTTATGCCGAAGGTGCATGCTATTTTATCTGCTTGCTTTTATTTATTTATTTTTTTTCCCCTTTTTGTCTTTTTTCTTGACCGGTAACGGGATCGCAACCCTCAGTGTTGCGCCTGTACCGCGACCGGCAACGGGATCGCAACCCTCGGTGTCGTGCCCGCACCGCGCTCAACCAGTGAGCGGACCGGTCTCTATATGGGATCCGAACCCTAGGCGGGAGCGCCGCCGTGCTCCCAAGCGCCGCACTCTACCGAGTGCACCACCGGGCCAGCCCTATCTGCTTGCTTTTAATTTTACAATGTTTATTTGGCTTTGGTAAGCCACCATGCCTGTACATGCCATACAAAGATTTAGTTAAAAGCTGCCACATTCATGTATTTGAATGAACATAAATTCAAACATAAAATTTAGACAATATCTGTAAAAACAAGCATAATCTTTTAGAACAGAGGGTTCCAAACTTTACAAGTATAAGAGTCTCTTAACGTCAAAAACTTTCAAGGCCTTTCCTCATGACAGTGCCTTTTTAGTATCTATTGATTGTGGAAATATAATTGCCAAAAAGCCACTATGCATTCAGTAACACTTTCTAAGTAGAGTTGAGTTTTATTGATCATAACATTTATATCCGTTTGGAAATTTATAGTGCATACGTGTGAGCTATTTATTCTATCTAGGTACGATGTTGTCTATATAGGAATTTTGTAGACCCTTATAACAACTATTAATTCTGTTAGAGGTCAGCAATGTATAGGATTGGAACATATGCATGTGCTCTAGAGTAATTTTATTATGCTGTTATTATTGTTAAAAATGTGATTTTTCTTTAAGTCAAGGTCAAAACAGAATTTAAAGGAAACCTCAAATCAAATCATGAGATCTATCTAGAATAATATTATTGGGTAGTTTTTTTTAAAAAGTAGGTTTAAAATTAGGATTATCTCTTACTGAGCAGGTATAGGAACACAAAATAAAGAATATTTTTAAAACATGGTAACAATATTAATAACTTGGGCTTTGTATTAAATTAATAAATGTACAAGATCTGGGATACTATTAAAAATCTTTTATATGTTACAACTGTTTCAAAGTTCAAGCTTAAATAGAGCATGTGGGGAAAGTCTATCTCCAGAGCAAACAGAGGTCTGCTTTGAATAGTGGGTTCCAGTCTTCACTGATTTATTCCTAGTTTTAGATCTGTGGTCCTGTTCTCAGTTGGTTGAGCCCAGTGTGTGGTTTATCACATTAAAAAAAGAAAAACACTATATGCTCCCTAAATTATAGGCCAACTGATATAATGGATTTTCTATATTAAATGTATGTCAAATTTTCTGCTTAAAATACTGTAAGCTTGGGATTCCACTCTTAAGTCCAGGATGGAGGGAGTCACTTGGAGGATCAATTAATAACTTCCACTGGAGTAAAAGAAGGATGTGTTCTTGGCTTTCCTTCCTTTTTCCTTATTCATTAAGGACATATACTACTGTTGGATGGAGCTGTATGCATATTGCCCTATTATTAACAATATCATACTCTAGTGTTTATGGATAATTTATTAAAAGTATAAGAACAGGGGCCGGCCCGGTGGCGCACTGGATAGTGCGCCGCTTGGGAAGCACGGCGGCGCTCCCACCTGAGGGTTCGGATCCCACATACAGACCGGTTCCCGCTCACTGGCTGAGCGGGGCGCGGGAGCAACACCGAGGGTTGCAATCCCGTTGCCGGTCCCTGGTCCGGTACGGGGGCAACACTGAGGGTTGCGATCCATTGCCGGACACGGAAAAAAGACAAAAGACAAAAAAAAAAAAAAAAAGTATAAGAACAGATAGGCAACAATAAACACTAAATTGAGCATAATTATAGAAGGTGGGATATAGGACTATGGAGGAATACATGGGTTTGGGGGGGCTTCCATTGTACTTGTATTGGCTTTTTACTAAAACTCGGTGGTGGATAAATGGATATTCATGATATTTTATATCTTTTTGTATGTTAATAATATTATTACTATTATTAATAATAAAAGAAGTTCTGATTGTTTCACCTAATTAATACCAGAAAGAAGGGCTATAATTTTATTATTGTGAAACCAAATAAATGGATATTCATGATATTTTATATCTTTTTGTATGTTAATAATATTATTACTATTATTAATAATAAAAGAAGTCCTGATTGTTTCACCTAATTAATACCAGAAAGAAGGGCTATAATTTTATTATTGTGAAACCAAAGGTTTTTATCCCTCTCTCCCTCCCTCTCTTCCTTTTGATAAATGATGCCCAGCAACCCCTGTACCCCCAATCCCCAAAATTGACGTATAGTTAATAATCACATGTAACAGGAAACCTCAACTAAGTTACCATTGTATATTTTTGCAGATAGTTTAGCTTTGGAGTCAGGCAGGCCTGGTTTCCAAGTTGGCTGTTTACTAGATGTGGAAATGTAGTCAAGTTCCCTAAGCTCTCTGAATCTTGTTTTTTTAACTCACTAAGTGTGGATTATAGTAACATCTACTTTTGGATTTGTGGTGAAGATTAAATGAGATTGTATGTATAAAGGTTCTGGTGTGTAGGAGGTGCTCAGTGAATGTTAGTCCCCTTTTTTGGTATGCCGTAGTACTTGTACAGTGTTAGGCACACAGAAAGCACCCAGAAAATACTTACTAGTTGACTGTATATTACATCTTAATAAAATTTTGTTAAACTGTTTTTTAGGAGGACTTTCGATTGCATTTTAGAAATATTTCAAGAATCATGGATTGTGTTGGTTGTTTTAAATGTCGACTGTGGGGAAAGCTTCAGGTGAGCAAATCTAGCTCAGTCCTATTTCTCATTTATCCTTTGCACAAAGAATTTTCTTATTTTTCTTTTTTTCTTTTTTCTGTTATAGACTCAGGGTTTGGGCACTGCTCTGAAGATCCTGTTTTCTGAGAAATTGATAGCAAATATACCAGAGAGTGGACCCAGTTATGAATTCCATCTAACCAGACAAGAAATAGTATCATTATTTAATGCATTTGGAAGGTTAGTTTGAATGCACTGAAATTTTTTCTGCTAGCCAAGTAAGTTGAGTGCAACACATATGCTCTCAGATAAGACTGGGTAAGGAATATCCTTTTCAGTGAAATTATTTCATTATAGAATTATATGACCTTATGAAATAACTCAAGTATGTAGATACACACAATCATTAGATGATATTCTTTATTTTCATCCATTGACTTTTATAACATGAATATTGGGTTTCAATATTCATCTTATCGAGTTTGTACATTTTTAAAAATTGTTTAAAAGCAGTTTTTTGTGCAATCCAATTATTTTTTTAAAGGTCCTGGAAATATCATATGTTGTTTAATATAGGTGTACATGTAAGTTTCTCGGTGAATTCACCATTATATAAAAAGGTTAATAATTCTTTAAAAAAATTTTTTTATCAAAATGATTTGAGGAAAAGCATGAAATAAGGAACTTAACATTAAAAAATGTAAGTATAGATGCATTTCCTTCTGGCCTGTTATGTAAAGAATGCCGAGGCTGGTCTGTTAGCTCAGTTGGTTAGAGCTCAGCATTGTAACACCATGGTCAAGGGTTCTGTTCCCCTTACCAGCCAGCTGCTGAAAAACCAAAAATGTCGAGACTTTTTAAAATTAACATTGTCTTAAGAAGTACATTTCTTCACTTTTAAAAAATTAGGATTTAATATTTTGGGTTTGAAATAATTGATTTTCAAAATTATTTCTGTAGCACCCAGGGGCTTGACAGTTATATTTCATTGAGTATTCTGCTACTTTTTTCATGGTGAAGAGCAGAGTTAAAGTGCACTTAAAATAAGGAACAAACTTTACTTTTTATAAAAATGAGTAAAAATAATTTCATCACACATTTACTGTTCTCACTCTTTATAGACCAATAGCTCAGATTCTTTGTACATTTACTAAGTATGGCATATTATTTTTAAGTATTCCTATGCTTATGCATATTTGAAATATGTATCTTAATATTTCTATATTTCTCTACTTTATGTACTTTAATACTAAACACATGGTTACATTTTTTTTTTTTTTTTTGTCTTTTTTCGTGTCCGGCAACGGATCGCAACCCTCAGTGTCGCGCCCGTACCGGACCAGGACCGGCAACGGGATCGCAACCCTCGGTGT